TAAATGGTTGCTGTGTCTTATTTCTTCAGTGGGCAAATTAAATCGAAATAAAAATAAATTTAAGCTAGCCTGGTATGCATTTAAAAAATACAATAAACGTTTGAGATAGGCGAAAGTCTTTTAAAAATTAAATGGTTATCTTGTCTTATTTTTTCAGTGGATAAACTAAATCGAAAAAATTCGTGGTGTAGTAAAGCCTGGTTCGAAGTTTGGCGGGAAGAAAAGCCGATCAGTGAGGGGTGAATTTGTTTATACAAAACGGTACGAAGGGAAGCTTTCCGGGCTTTCAATGCCTTGGAATAAGAGGATTGAAACGGACGAGCTTATGAACCGCGTCATTTTGCTCGCGTCAGGATATACCTACAAGTGTATCCATCCTACGCCCGTTTGGGGGATTTTCTGGTAATAGTTTCCCCTCCACGTATCCTCTTCCTTCTCAAACATTTCCCACGTTCTCGCCAAGATAATCGTAAGCTTTTTGCCAGGAATTCAGAGATTAATGAAACTATACTGCACACAGTTAAACAGAACTTCATGAAATGAAATCTGAATTCAGATTTTCAAATGTTGATCCACTTTTTATAAAGACTTATTAATAAAATAGAACTTCGGACATTTTATTTGAAGAGCAGCAAATAGGAAAAAGAAACTTTCAATTTGAATTTTCATGGTTGAATCACTCACCGATTACTGCTTATCCTTCAGCCTCTGGAACAGAAACAGGAAAATATTTATCAGGCAAAGTGTAAATTTAATTTCCTTTAATAAATACTAAAACGCAATTCCACGGATTTAGATCTCCGCGTGAAAAAAATTAGACTCGTTTCCACGGGAAATTGCTAGGCGCGATAATCTTTTCTGGCTGTGAAAAGAAAGAGTTATTTCGACTGACAAATCGGCGGCGAAGGAGAGGGAGGACACAAAGGACGTGGATAACGCAAGAAGAAATGCGCTATGCATTTTTACTCTCTGAGGACTTATTACTAATTTCGCTCTCGCCTTGTTCCAAAACGCTTCCATATATTAAACTGAATTATTTCAACTTATTTGTCTCTTCGGCCTTTAAATAGGAATTCAAACCTTTCAGCGGAATGATTTGAATTTAAATGGAAATTTAATTTACCAATTGTTAATTGAAAATTTAAATAGAAATTTTTACTATAAAAATATTCACCTCCACCCGCAAGTATTATTATTTATGTCGAACCTGTTCAATTCTTTGCTTACTATTATTTTATTAAACGCCCGCTTTTTGTTGATCGCTTTTTTTGACAGGATTTCATAGAAAATCCTTTCAATACCGAGAACGAGATTCTAAATACGTTTTCCAGTCTGAATTTTTCCAGCGTATACAATAGTCAAACATAGAATGGAGTATATAGGTATTTTTAGCAAGCTTTTGGTTCACTTCAACGATTCGTCGACGCACGTGTGCTTTCGACGTTGCAAGCTGCGCTTGTTTTGCTTGACGCAATGCGGCTGCACTCGGTGGTACAGTTGTAAGCAACGAGAGAGGAAGGACGATTCATGTTTTGTCGTTCAGTCGCCGAGTCGAAATAGATTCCAATCGAGCATTTCCTGTTTTGATCGACGATTATCGATCCCGTCAATACGTTCAGCTATGCAATCTTTCTTTTCACAATGCATCCTTACATTTAACATCAAAATGTACGAACTCTTATTATGATTAAAATGATTCTATTTTAATGAGTTACAATTATGCTACTTTCAAGTCCTATGAAAATATCAGTGTAATCTTTTCTGCTGTACTCATCAATTATTATTTCATATGAATTTTGATAACAGAATGAATGAAATTTATTAGTCTGATGAAAATGTTTTC